GTGGAATGGGAAGGCAGCAGAAAGGTGTCATGAACATCTCCACCCCTTCTGTTCCTAGTCAGGGAGTGAGGAAAGATAAAAGCTCAGGATCAGTTCAAAGCTCTGGAAAAAGAGAATTGTGAATATTTAGGCTTGGGGCTCCATCACTCCTTCCTGCTGCCAGAGACAGCACCACAAATGCTTTCAGGGGTGGGTTTTATCCTCTCCCCTTGATGATCCCAGAGCTTTGGAACTCTGGTGAGTGGCTTCTTCACCAACATTCCAGTCACTCATCCAAGCTCCATCCACCGTCTCTGGCCATGACTGTGTGTGCTGGTGCTTGTCCCCCTCATTAGGACTCTTCTTTTGGGCTCCATAAAGTTGTCCCCTGACCCTGGTGTGCAAAGCAGGCTGGTTAAGGGAGTGGGCTGGAGTTAGGGTTTTCCATGCTGTCACTTAGGAAGCTGGGACTGCTGCCCTGCCTCACTTTACAAGTCTAGAAAATGGGCTTAATGCTAAATTCCCATTTTAGGAGAAGCCTCTTTGCAAGTTGTCCAAGAATGAAGGACTTTGAGCCAAGACACTCCTTGAACACAGAAAATTTTTTCACTTAATAGGTACAACCCATGTGAGGAGGAACAGGACTTTCCTCCCTTGCCCTTAGAAGAGGCTGTGATTGCTGGGTTTGACATGTGATGATGTGAACCTTAACACTCCTGAGCAGCTCCTGCCAGCAGAAACCACAGTTGGTAACAGGAATGAAAAGTCATTAGAAATATGTATAAAAAATTGATGACAACAACAAAAACAACAACAAAAGTGAGGTGGAAATGACAAGCCAGTGAAAGGGGGGAATAGGAAAATCCCCTTCAAGTCCTGTGTAAAGCTGACTTATTCCATGTTACCCTTCAGCAGAAGGATGTGACTGGCTGGAAATTTGAAATGTTTAAGCAGATCTTTAACCAGACACAATGCAAGGTGCTATAGATGTAAACACAGTGGTATCTGTTGCTGGAGGGGAAGTAAACTGATTACTTACAAGCTGTCCTCCTTTGCAGTTATCCTCTTCAAACACATCCTCTGGGAATCCCAGGCATTCCCTTTTTTTTTTTTTCTTGCCATCCTCATTTAAACCTCCAGTGGCTGGAGTTGCCCCTGGAAGGAGGGGGCTCCTCCAACAAACTGAACTCAGTTTCTCTGCATTGGAATTGTGCTTCCAGCAGATTTTAGGGGCAGATATATTATTCCAATGGCACTACAATCCTACCTTTCCAAAGTGAGAGGTGGGAGGACAGAGTTAACAAACCTAAACCAGCTCTGAACAGTTTCCAGCCCAAACAGACTATTTTCATCTATAGAAGGTGCTTCAAAAGAAGGTAGAAAAATGGGGCAGATAGAAAATGTTTTTCTCTCTTTCATGCCTCCCTCATGTACTTTGTAGTCTGAGACCCACTTAGGCCCCCGAAGCAGCTTAATCCTTGTCCCAAAATCTCTTTGCAGATTCCCAGAGGTGCTGCATTTATCCATGGAAATTCCCATCCCATTTTTTGCTCTTGACCAGTGTTGCCTCTGACAACAAGAGGCATTTTCTGTGTAATAAGTGTGTTCTAAATTCAAAGTGTTTGTAAGGGTAGAGAGTTTGTTTATCTCTATTGAGTTTGCTGGGGGGGGGGGTGACAGAGGGAAGTGGAAAATTACAGCTGGATCCAACTCAAGCTTTTCAATCTCCAAAACCCAGACAGAAAACAGACCATGGACAAAGGCCACAGAGCAGAGAAGAGAATGATAGCTGTCTCTTGTGTTTTTGGACAGCAAAGCCAGTGTTTGTCATAAAACCCACCCAGCACCTCTCCAAATGCTGTCATGGGTGGGTTGGCCTTACAGAACCATCAAGATGGTCTGGGGATGGTGTGTCCCAGAAGCTGTTGGGCCTTCTAATCCCTGCTTTTGCTATTCCTGTCTGCTTCTCTTTCCTCTGGGAATGACACTGGAAGGTCCCGGTGGTGCATTGAGTAACTTCAGGAGTCATCACACCATGTTGTGATGGGACAGAGGTTGCCAGTTTGGGATGAGCTGAGGCCTTTTGGTCATTTCTGCACAGTTTCAAGCAAAACAGGGCAGGGATCTCTGTTCTAAGTCTTTCTGTGTCACAAATAAATCATACAGCTGGGCAGAGTGGTCCCAGCAAGGCCCCTCCATGAGGAGCAGGGGAGACAACCATGAAAAAAAGGTGTCCTTATATGTGTTGTTTTAAGAGTACGGACTGTTCTCCCTGTGGATTCCACGCTTTGGTTGTTTTGGCAGGATGGAAGGAAGGGTATATGTCTCCCCAAAGGCAGATTTCTAGGAGACCCGATGTTTTGAGAGCATCTCTTGCTCTATGAACAGATTTCTTTGCTCTCCAGATATCCTACAGGAGTGAACTTCACAGATCCCTGTGCATTGTGGTGAAGTTATTTCCTCTTCATCCCTTCACAGATGTGCAAAACCAGAGAGAAAAGGTGAGTTATTGCATTTGATTACCTCAACCCATTGCAGACCCCAAATCCTCACATGTCCTGTTCAGTGTTGCAGCTCACCCTCAGTTCTCCCCGGAGGGCACACAGTGAGAAATGAGGAGCTCAGGCCTGTCTTCTCTTCATTTTTAAGGTTTGGGTCATGTCTACCCTTTTGTTAAGTGAGGGTCTGGGGATTCACAAACTTCTCTACTTAGGCCTGGAAAGAAATGGGCTGCAGGGACATTTTTCAGCATCTGTGGACAACACTCTCAGGCACGTGGTGGGATTCCTGGGGTTGTCCTGTGCAGGGCCAGGAGCTGCACTTGAGGATCCCTGTGGGTCCCTTCCAGCTCAGGATATTCTATGATTTTATGATCCATTGTATTGAGTACAGCTCCCCATTCCCACAAAGATGTGTTTTCCATCACTCCCCATTGCAGCAATGGGAACTGAAAATGGGGTTTAGTTTTTTCAGGGGCACTTTCTGGCACTTCTTCCTCGTGCTGAGCTTCTTTGCCCTGCAACACAGGAGAGATTCCCAGCTGCACCTTGCTCTGTCTGGCCTCTCCAACCACAAGACAGGGAAGGTGAGCGCCCCTCATTCCCCCCACCACCCCAAAAGCAAGGCAGAGCTGCCCCACGGGGCTCACAGGGGCAGAACACATTTCTTAGACTCTTTTTCCCAAGCACTCCGTGTTTCCCTCCAAAGCTTTCCCCTCTCCTGTTTGCACCTGCCAGGGCTGGAGAGAGAGAGAGAGAAGCTGGAGAAATAGAGAAGAAATCCCTGGGGGCCTCGGAGGCGCAGGGAACCTTCTTGCAAGAAAACAAACTCCCGAAAGGCTGGAGAGAGAAAGGGAGAGATTTCCATTCGGAGCATGCACGGCGCTAATCCAGCATAGCCGCCTGTCGGCTAAAAACACGCATTTCAGGCCCCAGCTGCCCCTTTGCTCCAGTCCCTGCTTAACTGGAGATGTCACAGATGCCTTTGGCCGGCGATGCTGCAGTGCCGGCTGGGGATGAGGAGAGGCTGGTTCGCTGCGCTCCACCACAGCCAGGGCTTGCTGCTCAGCTCCCCTGCAGGAAGGATTTTCTCATTCCCCGCGAAGTTTTTTAGGGATACGAGAGGTTTGAAGGTGTGGAAACGGGGGTAAAAGGGCTGGATGACGTGAAGGGAAGGGAGGAAAGGGAAAGAAGGCCGAGGGAAGGGGGTGGAGGTGCCCTGGAGAGTCCCTGTGAGGAGAAATGGGGTGCTCTTCACCCTCTCTAAGACAGAGGGATAAAGGCTGATGGCAGATGGGATCTTCACCTCTGCCCCTCGGGAAGGTCTGTGCCCCTCCTCTGTTGGGAAGCAGCAGCCCCGGACAGGGAGGGAGGTGGTTTTGTCAGGGAAAGGGGGTGGTTTCCCCCTTTTGGAGTAGAAAAGGTTAAAGACAAGGGGCAGGTCCTGAAGTCTGACAAGATTCTGAAGACCCCCAGCTCTTCCCCCCTTCTCGAGCCTTATCCCTCTCCCCTCCACTCCCTTCTCAGACCCCCTCCTCTGCTCGGGAGGCTCCTCATTCCCGGGAACCTTCCCTGGGCTGTAAAGCCGGAGGCAGCAGCTTTAGCCCAAAGCTGCTGGGATGCAGCCTGAGCCTTTCACCCCAGCCCATCTCCTCCTCCTCCATCTGCTCAAACTTTCCCTCCCCCCTCCCCTTCTTCTACCCCTGGGGCGTTACATGGATGTGATATCCCCCTCACCTCATTCTCCCAATATTTTGGGTTAATGGAGCAAGGAATTGGGGAGGATGCCAGGAGAGAGGTTAAAATCAAATAATTAGGAAAGGGTTAACGGCTGTTGTCGTCTCCTGCCCTGGTGCAAAGCCACGGCCAAACCGGGGTGCTGGGGGAGGTCCCCCCATCACCGCCCTCCCCCTCATCACCCCCCCGCCTGCCGGGCTGAGGGGCTGGGGGACCCACTGCCCGGTGGTCCCCGCCGCCCTGTCCCGTGTCCCGTCCCTCCGCAGGCTGTGAGCTCCGGGGAGGCTCCGGGGGGCGGGGGAGAGCCCCCCAGCCCCGCTGTCCCCGGCGGTACCCCGGCAGCGCCGAGCCGCGTCTCTGCGCATCCCTCTGCGGGCGAGCGGCACCTCTTCGCGCCGAACCTCCGCAGGTTTTTTGGGGAGCGGGGAGGGGAGCAAAGCCCTCGCCATCCTCACCACCACCTTCCCGGCTCCCTCTTCACCTCCTGGCTCCCCGCTTAGGGCTAAGCTGTCCCGGGGAGGCTGCGCTGCCTGGGCTCCAGCGCGCTCCGGCTGTCGCTGGGCTCCTCTGCTCCATCCATCCATCCATCCATCCATCCATCCATCCTGTAGGCTAGCGGAGCATGCCCGATGCGATACCGTGTCAGTTCGGGTCCTTGCCTATAGCTGCCTGTTTTACAAAGCTCCGATCCGTGCGTGTGCGTGTGTATGTGTGTGTGCATTTCATCCCTCCCTCCTATCCCTCCCTCCCTCCCTCTCTCTCTCTCTCTCTCACTCTAATGTGTGATCTGGAAAGCTTATAAAAGCCTGATGTAATCCTTAATGCAGCCCCTGGCTACAAAGACTGGATCTAGTTTCACAGAGAGAGATTCAGAAGCAGAATTTAAAAAAAGAAAAAGAAAAAGAAAAAAAAAAAGAAAAGTGGGGGGAGAAGAGAGAGAAAGAAGGAAAAGCAGACGAGTGGATTTTAAACAAACATATCTTTCTGAAGAAGACCATTCTCGCTCCTCGCTGCTGGGAAAGCTACTCTGAACCCTGCTGTATAATTTTTTTTTTTTCCAAAGGAGAAGACTTGATTGTCTGCTTGGATCTAATGATTTACTGGCTTTTAACTGCGTTTTCCCTCTCTCCTAAGGATTCCTCAAAAAACGGCTTAATTATTTTCGGCTTTTCTCTTCTACCTGCCTGTCTGCAGAGACACCAAAGGTTCTCCCTTCCTTTCCCTCCCCACCCCCATTTCTTTTAGGATTTTTCCCCCCTTTTCCCTTTAATAGATACATATATATATATATAAATGTGTATGTATATATATATGTAGAGGCGAGAGTGGAGGAAGAGGAGGGAGGGAGAGCTCTGCCATCCTTTGGACTTCACGCGCTGCCCAATGTTGGGCTGGTTACCCCTGGATATGTTGCTGGTTTCCATTTGGAATTTGACAAAGGGAAGAAGGAGGATATAAAACCTGGGGAGCTCGGCAAGGTAAGGGGCTCCCGGCCACCCTTCCTTCTTCAACGGAGGGTAGGGAGAAAGGGAACGCGACTTCTCCGGGCTGCGCTTTGCCTGGAGCGCGGGGGGGGGGGTGTCTGTCTCCATCCCCAGGGGAGGCAGGGATGGGGGCAGCGCTGGGGACCCCTTCTTCTACTTTTACCCCTGGAAACAGCACCCGGAGGGTGCTTTCGTCCCCTCAGCTCTGCAATTTGGACGGATAGAGCATAATCATTCCCTGACATGGGAAGTTTTAACTTTTGTGCATGCGGGTCCTGTGGGCAAACATCAAGCGGTGAAGGAAAATATTGATGTCTGCAGGATGCGGAGGGGGAAATGCAGTCGTGTCCTGGGGAAAGCAGCTGGGGATTGGATTGGGTTTTTTTGGGGGGGAAGGCAACGAGGAGAGGGAAGAGGAGCGGGGGATCGCGGCAGGAGAGCTGCAGAGCCAGCCGGGGCTGAACTGCAAAGTGCTGTGAAGCCGCGGTGCCTTCGCGGGCAGCCCTGGGGTCCGGGACTCCTCAGCCTGCAATGTTGGCAAACAAAGTCTCGGAAGGACAGGCAGCTGCCTGCCCCGGGCGTGAATCTGCCCTTATCACAGCTTCTCGCCTTCCCCTTTTTCCTTGGAGAGGTGGTGGGAGGGTGAAGGGTCTTTTTTTGCTTCGCCGCTTGTGTGGCTCCTACCCGGCGCTGGAGGCAACGGCTGGGGAGGGGTGAGCGCCTGATGTGCCCCCCCAAATGCCATTTATCAGCACTTTGCTTCACACGGGAGGAGAAAATGAGCCTTTAGCCTGTGTAGGGCTCGGAGTACGGCACAGACACACAGACACACACATGCTGCTCCCGGAGCTGTGCTCCTGGGGGATGCTGGCACCCAGGCACAGCTTAGCCTTTCTTTGAGGATGGGGAGGAGGGTGGCGAGAGAAGGAGTCTCCATCAGGGATGCGTAATTACAAAGCATCTTGTTCTGAATCACCCTGTGTGGGAATGAATCGCAAAATTTGTCTCTCCCTCTTCCCCCACCGCCCCCTTCCCTTTCACGGCCTGACATTCGCTGATGGAGGGTGGCTGTTGATGCATCTTCAGACTTTCACAGAGAGGTGTTTCAGCCATGGCTTTGCCAAGGCTGGAAGGAAAAGAGGAAAAACGGGATGGAGGGGATCAGGTGGATGTTTCAAAGGGACTTTTCAGCCTGGTTGTGGCCCCGGTCCTGGCTGAGAGCAGCAGTGCTCCCCGAATCGAAGGCTCGGGTTTCAGATCAACTCCGCCAGGTCCCTTCGGTTGTGACTCACACTCAGGTCCCCGATCCTGCCCTGGCCACGGGAACAACCCCTGTGAATCCGTTGCACAGACAGGAGATGGTAGGGAAGGGAGCATCAAGGCAAGGTCAAAGGGATGGAGGGCAAAAAGACACCCCCCCTTCCATCCCTGACCACTCCATCCCTTCGGAGCCGGGGCTTTCCAAGGCTCAGGCTCAACCCACCTCCAGCACCGGGTCTGGCGAGTGCCAGGGCCAGCTGACAGCTGATGGCTGAGGGAGGAGGAAGAGGAGGAGGGGAAGGAGGGGGCTGAGGAAGAGCGGAGCTACTTCGACAGATGCCCAAACCTGCCTGTGCGGCAGAGCGAGAATCGCAGCGTCTCCAAAGCCTCCCTGGGAAGGAGCCAGGGGCGCTCCGGGCTCGGGGGCACCTCCCCAGCCCCGTTACCTGTTGATTAGCGACAGGTTTGCTCTCACCTGACCGTGCAAAGCCTGAGGGAAGCCGGGAGGGATGAGCCCCCGGCACTCGGCGGAGTTGCCCGATGACCTCCGCGGCGGAGCGGGGAGGGCTGTGTGTTAATGGTGATGACTCTGCTTTGGCTGGTGCTGAAATATCTGTATTATCTATTATCAGCTGGGAGACGAGGCTGGAGGCTTCGCAGAGCTGGGATCTCATCCAAAGTCCGGGCTGCTAAAGGAAACAAACAACTCCCCATGCATATTAAGTGGGTCCCTAATTAATTAATGACTCATTAACCTGGGTCCCACAGTCCTTGCTGTGCGGGAGACCTCTCCGAGGAAGAGGAAGGAGGTCTCAGGGAAGAGCCAGGGAGGTTTTTACCCTGGGAGGGTGCTGAGGAATTGCACCAGCCAAGCCGCACTGCCGGGGGACAGGGTGGGCACGGCGCTGAGCCAGGCAGAGGACAGGCAGAGGGCTGAGCAGGCAGGACACCCTCTCTGAGGGTGCTCAGAGGGGCATGGGGAGCACGGGGGTGCTGAGGCAGGGGGAATAGGGGACCTCCATGTTCTGTGTGATCTAGAGGGGTCAGGGTGCAGCATCGCTTCTGCTGTGGAGGGAGAAGGGGAAGGCCAGAAGGAAACTGGATGGGGTAAAGGCACAGGTAGGGCAGGAGCAGGACCCCTGGCCCTTCCCATAGCACTTTGGATGGTGTTGCAGAGCCCTGGGAGGAGGGATAGGGGCTTGGAGCCCCTCATAACCGACCACTGAAGGTGAAAAGGCTCAGGGAAGGACTGGCTGCAAAGTGCAGGGGTTTTCTAGTTATGAATTTTCTCTACCTCTCTTCTCCTTACACGGGGGAAACTGAGGCAGGTCCGTGTGCCAGACCCCATACCCTGGCTGGGAAACGTGTGTGTGGGGAGACACACCTGATCTCCAATCAGACCTCAAGGAGCAGCCACAGGCACCCTCCACGGTGGGGGGAGCACCCCCCCCATCCCACTGTTTTGGCACACCAGGGAGACCTGCAACACTCTCTGCCCCACAGGCCCTCAGAGGTGGTCTGGGACAGTCACACAGCCCTTCCCTCCCTTACATTACCCCACAGACTCCTTTTTCAACCACCCTAAACTCAATGACACCCCCTCCCAACACACACACACACACATGCACGCTCTCCATCCTTCCCACAGCATCGGGACCGTTCCCGCTGGAACCGCGGGGGCGGGAGAGGCTGGGAAAGGATGTGGGGGCATCTCAACCTGGTGTCAGGGTCCCCTCCACACCTCCCCCCTGCCCATCCGCGGTACCGGGGGGGCTGTCGGGGGCGGTCGGGGCTTGCGGCGAGCGGCGGGGAGGTGGCGCTCGCAGCCCGGCTATCGCCGCTCGCCGCCCCCGGAGCGCTCGGATGCTCGGCACAGCCCGTGGAGCGCTGCTCCCCCTTATCCCCTCCCCCAAAAAAAAACCAAACCAAAAACACCCCACCTGCACGGTTGGGACTCGCAAGAAGCGCTGCCTCACACCCCGCACCCGAAACACGCCACCCACGGGGGTTTATGTCTCACTCTCTAGCATCACCTTCCCGTGGACTTTTTGCCCCCCTCCCCCCGTGTTTTTTTTACCACACTCCCCCACGTTTCATCCTCCCTCTTCTCCCCAATTTCAACATCGTTGTGAAAATAGAGGCTCGTTGAGCTTCCACGGGCTCTCCATGGGAGTGCAAGTGGGGTGAGCAGCTCTGTTACCCCCGTGCCCAGGATTGAGAGGGGGCAGCCCCCAGCTCCAAGGGCTTGCTGAGGGTCTTCACACCATCCCTTGCTCCGTACAAGCGGGGGAAAAGGTTGCCCGAGCACTCTGCTCCTGCGAGTCCACCCATAGTGGGATCGTGCCCCATCATCTCTCCTGGGAAGGGGAGATGATGGAAGGGATTCCCGCAGTGACTGTGCGGCTACAGATGGCTTTTCTTTGCCCCTTTTTAGAGGGAGGGAGAGGGGAAAGCAGCGTGTTCGTAGATCCAGATTCACCTTCTCCCGTAGCTCGAGTGCAGCACGCAGGAAATCCCCTGCCATCGATACCTGTTGCCGGGGATCAGCTCGGCTCATTAATTAGCTCCAGGAAACCTGCGCCGGTAAACAAATGAGTCAAAGCTTTTCTCCGGGGCTGATCCCGGGCTCGCAGTGCACCGGTTGCCACCTTTCTAGGAGAGGTGCAAAGAGAGAGGAGTATTTTCTTCAAGATGGATGACAGGCTGTCTCTGGAACGAGCTCGCCTCCTCCCCTTGGAGAAAATTCCCATCCCCAAGCGAGCCTTCCAAGGGAAGGGAGATGGCACCTGGCCTGGGGGTTTGCAGAGGAGTCTTGGTGTCACAGCACATGTCAGAACGGCTCCGTGTGGCTGCAGAGAAAGTCCCCATCACATCCCAGTGTTCACCTTTCACAGGATGCTCCCGTGTCCTTCTCATGGTTCCTTCCCCAAGTTCCCTGGGCTCTCTGCTTGCCTGAGGTTTGCAAAAGGTGCTGAGATTAAAGAGGGCAGGAGGGTGGTGCTTGTGCTCGGGTGAAACTTGGCCAAGAGTTAAGTTGCTGGAGGGAGTTGCTGTCCATCCATATATTTGGGTGGCGTAGGGATTTGGGGTCTGAAGCACAGGAAGAAAGGGGCTGGGGCACTGTTTTCTCAGCCAAGGTGGGGATAGGAGGGATGTCTTCCAGGGAAAACAGCGTTTCGCTGTTCCATCTGCACTGGAGAGGCAGGAGCTCCTTTTGATTTGAGATGCACTCCTTTCCTTTACATTAAATATTAGGAAGAAATTCATCCCTGTGAGAGGGGTGAGGCACTGGAATGGGTTACCCAGAGAAGCTGTGGCTGCCCCATCCCTGGAATTGTTCAAGGCCAGGTTGGACAGGGCTTGGAGCAACCTGGGATAGTGGAAGGTGTCCCTGTCCATGGCAGGGGGTGGAATGAGATGAGCTTTAAGGTTCCTTCCCACCCAAACCATTCTGTAACTCTATGATTCATGTATGGCCCCCTAAGATCCCAAATCCATAGGGACAAGCCCTCTAAGTCCCAAATCACTACAACAGGGAGCTGTGCCAACCCTCATTTCTCCAAGTCAGGGCCAGCACAGATGTTATCCTGGTCTTCAGCATCCTCCAGCATCCCAGTGTTGGAGGTTCCATCTGCCTTGTAACCCTTCTTAATGTTCCTTCTGCCCAAAAGGCAATTCTTCCAGAGCCCCACACCATCCCTGACCCAATATTGGTTGCATTTTATTAGAACATA